CCCTGGCAGCAGTGCTGACCTCCTGTCCACCCCCTGGAAGCTGCAAACTCCATTTCCTTTACGCCCCACCCCCTCCCAGGCTGCAGTGGGGATGCCTCTCCTGTGCTTTCCCCCAGCACCCAGGTTGGTCCCTGAGGAGCGCAGATGCTGTGATGTAAATGTTGAGTGTGGATGAATCTGAACTGTCAGCCCAGTCCACCATGGCCCTGAGCCTCAGTTTCCTCCTTTGTAGAACCAGGGCCACCGGTGAGGGGCTGAGAGTGCAGACTGGGAGTCAGGGGACCTTCCTAGGACACAGGCTCTCTGTGTGACCTTGGGCAAGGCACCTCCCTCAGGGTCTCAGAGTGCCTCCTCCAGGAGAGGCTGGGATCCAGCCTCAGGGACCTGTTGGTTCCAATGCCAAGATCCCTAGCCCCGAGGTGGGGAGGGGTGGACACTCGGGTAAGATGGGGTTCAGGGCTGTACTTCTGGGGCAGCTGGCCTGGCAGCCGGAGCGAGAGCTTAGTTCCTCTCTGATCCAGAGACTTAATCTCCTTGTCTCTGGATCAGCAGCCCAGGCCAGCCCCTCCCTTCCTGTGCTCTGAGCCCATGTCCCTTCCCTTCACTCCTCCAGCCACACTCCTCCGCTATTCCCCTCTCTCCACTGATTCACCTGTATCCAGCTAGCTCAGGCCCCATGTCCTTCATAAAGCTGTCTGTGACCCCCTCCATCCACACAGGTCCCCTTCCCTGGTTCCGTGGAGCGTGTAGTGTCTCCCATGCACCACACTCGGTAGGGTCCACTGATGCTCAGATGGCTTGAGAAGCACAGGTCTCGATGCAAAGTTGGGCTGCTCACCCTGCATCCTAAGCCTTCTCTCCTTGGGCCCAATTGCCCTTCGCAGCCTCCCTTCTTGCCCGCTCCTCTCACTGACCACCACGCCAGGGCTCCAGCCACACAAGACTCACTCTTTTCTAAGTGCACTGTATATGCATTCTCTCCAGGCCAAGCACACTGGATATACTGGGTCTCTTCCTGGGACTCCTTCTCTAACCCTTTTTCTGTCTGTCAACGTCCTGCGTCTCCAAAGTCCAGCTAACTACCTCTTCTCCTCTCTGCACCTTGGTCAAAACTAATCCTTCTCTCTTCTCTGTGTGCATGGCCCTTTGTTTGACCTTGGTGGATGCAATGACCTCATTCTGCACCACCTTTTGGTGGGTGGGGTGGGCCCTGCCCCTCTGCCCCTCTGCCTCTCTGCTAGGGGTGTTTCCAGAGCAGGAGTGAGATGAGCAGGCATCGACGAAGGGACAGGCATACTACGGGGCACAGGTTAACCTTCATCCTCATCACAATAGCCACAGGGAGGTATCTTACTGTTTCAGAGACGAGCAAAGCCGAGGCTCAGAGAGGCCAAGTAACACTCCCTTGGCCACCCAGATGGTAAATGGTGAAGATGAGATTCCAGCCCAGGTCTACCAGATCCCATGGTTGAGTTCTTTGGACCCCAGCAGCCAGGGTGTGAGGCATACCGTGCTCTCTCAGTCAGTGTGTGCAAAACTGAAGAGAGTCTCTTGGCTCATGTGGCCAGGGAAGCAGCCTTAGGTTTTTCTTGGACACAAACCATGGATGTCTTGTTTACAAGCTGGGGTCCTGGAGCATGAGGCACATATCAGGTTAAATAAGATGCCAAGCTAGGACTGGGCAGATCCTTCTCACCCTGAGCCAGGCAGGAGAAATTGAGACCTGAGGAGGAACCTGGGTGGCCAGTGATTCCAGGAGCGCTGGTCTACTTTGTCCCCCCTACATCAAGACGGGCACTGCTCATCTCTTATCCTAGCTGGGTCTCTGGGTAAGACAGGAGCCGCTGGGAGATGGCATTGGCTGTCTGTGGCGAGGAAGCTTGGCAGAGCATGGGCTCTGCAGCGAGTGGGCCAGGTAAAATCCCTGCTCCTCTACTTCCTGGCTTGTGTCCTACCTACCAATCCTCAGTTTGGGGGTGGCAATGTCTGTCTCACAGAGTGGCTCTAAGAGCTAAATGTATGTGAAAGGCCCAGCCCAGAGTAGGTAGAGGAGCAGTCCTGAGTTCCAGGGGCATCTACTACCTGCTGGCTGGTAACACCAGCTGGGGTCAGTCCTTCCCGCCACTCTCCCAGCACCTCAGCAGGCAGGGACGGAGCCAGCTGTGGTCACCGCATTCCTTCTTGGGCTCCCTGAACCCATTAGAGAAGGATGGGCAGCACCTCCACCTGCCGTCTCTCCCACTGAGCCCAGGTCTCTTGTGCTGGCCATTGGGCTCTCCAGCCTCCACCAGCTCATCTGCCTCCTCCCCAGCCCAGGAAGCAACCGGTGATCTCTCTGTGTCCCCCAGCTCCAGCGTCTGCGCCCTTCCTTCTGCAGCCCTGGCCTGCCTATGTCCTGACCCCTGACCACAGTCCCTAATTTGGTTTTGGGGCTGCTGAAGACTGATGGACCGTCTTCATAACAGGCTCTTGCTCTCTCTTCTCTCAAGGGCCCTGCCTTCACTGCTGCCACTCTCAGGAGCCCTCTGTGATGGACCCTGGGCTGGTCAAGCACACTCCACTCTTCCAGTTACCTCCTTACCACTCTCCCATGTACTAGGTACTGTGTCAGCTGACCTCACCCCCAGCATGTGAACTGATGGAGGCTATTTACTGTGAATCTCTCTTTCTTTGGATAGCTGATTAGATGGACTATATTAATTTACTCGTTCATTTGTTTATCTT